ACCTGCAAAAAACTTCAGCTGCAAAAACAATTTAACCTGCAAAAAACTTCAGCTGCAAAAACAATTGAACCTGCAAAAAACTTCAGCTGCAAAAAAAATTTACCTGCAAAAAACTTCAGCTGCAAAAAAATGAACCTGCAAAAAATTCAGCTGCAAAAAAATAAACCTGCAAAAAACTTCAGCTGAAAAAAAAATTTACCTGCAAAAAACTTCAGCTGCAAAAAAAATTAACCTGCAAAAAACTTCAGCTGCAAAAAAAAAATTAACCTGCAAAAAACTTCAGCTGAAAAAAAAATTAACCTGCAAAAAACTTCAGCTGCAAAAACAATTTAACCTGCAAAAAACTTCAGCTGAAAAAAAAATTTACCTGCAAAAAATTCAGCTGCAAAAAAATGAACCTGCAAAAAACTTCAGCTGCAAAAAAAATTAACCTGCAAAAAACTTCAGCTGCAAAAAAAATTAACCTGCAAAAAACTTCAGCTGCAAAAAAAATGAACCTGCAAAAAATTTCAGCTGCAAAAAAAAATTACCTGCAAAAAATTCAGCTGCAAAAAAATGAACCTGCAAAAAATTCAGCTGAAAAAAAAAATTAACCTGCAAAAAACTTCAGCTGCAAAAAAATTAAACTGCAAAAAAATTCAGCTGCCAAAAAAAAAAAAAAAATCAGCTACAAAAAAAAATTCCCCGCAAAAAAATGAGCTGCAAAAAACGTACATGCAAAGACTTCAGCTGAAATTTGATGCACCTGAATTTGTTGCAGGTGAATTTTTTGCAGCATATTTTTTTTTTTTTTCCACCTGAATTTTTTGCAGGGGACATAAATAAATGTACTTCCATAAAGCTCCATTTTTGAAACTTCTTTTTCTGAAAAACAAACTAAAAATTGGTGCCTTTTTATCCTTTTCACAGTAATTTACAATATTTTAAACCAAAATATTGTTAAAAGTTACTTTTGGGGAAAAAAAATTAATGGGAATATATCAAAATGCTTTCCTGAATAAAACAAGACACTTTTTCAGTTTAAGGAAACGGGTGGAGAAATAATAAGGCTGAGTCAGAACCTAAGGGGAACAAAAATACTTGAAAAAGAATTTATTAAAAATTTTCCTAAATAAAGATAAGTTACTTTTTTAAAAGTTTCAGTTGATGTTTTTAGTTGGTAAAATAAAAAAGGTTTCAATGTTTCATCTTTTTCTCTGATTAAAAGGCATCAGGAATAAGTAAATAAATCCAAAGCAGCGTAGCTCTGAGCAAACGGCCGCCTCTCACCTGTCAGAGCGGCCGAGGTGTTTGAACCCGCAGCGAGCATCCTGATTGGTCCCAGAGAGTCGAAGAACTTCACCCTCTGGAAGGTGGTCCGCTCCTCGCAGTCGCCCAGCCCCAGCTGCCCCTCGCCGTTCCCCCCGCAGGCGTACACGTGCCCCCGCTCTGCTGACAGACACCCAGCATGAAGGAGTGGAAATTCAAAGCAAGGACAAACCGTGGTTCTGGAAACAGGAAACAGACCGGTGCTGATCAGAGTGTGGTTCCGTCCGCACGCCACCTGCTGGACTTTTTCAGACTTTAAGGCTGAAAAACAAAACAACATCAGCATCATCACTGTTCTACGTATAACTGCCTCCATCCTCAGTCTGGCGGCTCAGGCTACCTTTGACACAGGTGGGTTTATGCACCGTCTGCTTGGAGCCCAGACCCAGCTGGCCCCAGTTGTTGCTGCCAAACATGAACAGCTTCTTGTTTTCTGAGGAAACAAACAGAAACTCAGTAAAACTCTGCTTCTTCTTCTTCAGGAGAATTCCACAAAAAAGGTTAAAAATCAAGTTTGCAGACGTTTCTCTTCCATCCAGGAAGCTTTTTCAATTCAAAATGTCAGAAATAGCGTTTAGTTCCAGGTTTTATCCAGCAGCCCAACAAAGCCCGGTTTTAGTTTAGAAAACATGCAGATAGAAACAGAAGAACGGGTCCCCCCCTTTGGAATGGGGGTCGTTTGGCTTCTTTGTTAGCCTGCAATGCCCCATACCTGTCTATATCCCTGAAAGGGGGGTCATTAGAGGGAATAGTTGGCCTGGATGAATAAGCAAGCGGGAAGGAATCAACTCTATCGCTAAATTGGAGGTTTTAGAAAGCTAAAACCTGAGCCCACTTCCTCTGTTTAACCCTTTATAGGGCAAGGTACCATTTCTGATCCCTTACAAACTCCTTACAACCCCAGTGAGGTCTAGAGGCACAAGATCTATATTATATATCCAGCCACTCAGCAAAGATCCTGCTACATGGCTGAACATCTTATTTTGGCATTTAACCAAATAGAAGAGCCATTGAATGATAGATTGCCTACCTATAAATTAAGTTGGGGGAAAAAAAGGTTAAAAAGCTAATTAAAAAGGTAAAATGTCAAGTTAAAAAGGTAAAAAGTTTATTAAATGTTAAAAATTCAAGAGAAAAAATGAAAAAAGGACAAAATTCAACACTATAGGCTTGAAATCTTTTCAATTTCAATAAACGCCCTATGAAAGGTTAAGATTGTTTTTTCTTTCCTAATATAGATGGCTTCCTTCTTTGTCCAAAATGTGAACATTCTGGTCCTCCAAAGAATGTCCTTTGTCCATCAGGTGTAGATGTACTGCTTGTCCAGAGGAGGGCGCTCTTCTGTGTTGGGCCATGCGTCTGTGGAGAGGTTGTTTGGTTT